TTAGTCGATAAATTAAATGAAATTGGTGTTCGTTGGGCAGAAAGTCGTCATAAAACTTTTCATTGTATTACACCAGATTGTGGACAATGGTGGTTTATTGAACAAGTGCAAGGAAATAATATTGTCTATTGTGATGTATATCCAATTACGTTTTGATTGATAAAGTAAGTTTTTATGAATTTTTTATAGGGTTGTAAACATTGGATATGTATGACTTGTGTAGCTGTGCATGAAGGTCAAAATTGTAAGTTTTACTGATCTATTATTTTTATTGTCGATTATACATTTATATACGTATGTAGGTCTTGAATATCAGGAAGATCTCAAAATTCGAGCTATGAATGATGCAACAGCTCGTAAAGATCAAGAACATTTAGAAGTAAAACTATTATATCATAAAAAATTATATATCTTTTTCTCATTAGGAAATGATCAAACGACGAGAAGCTATGTATTGGTATGTATTGTTACTTAGTCATACTTACATGTTTATTATATATTAAATTTAGTCCCGGTTGTCGAGTAATTATACAAAAACTATCTGGCTGTGATTGGCTACAATGTACGCAATGTAAAATGGAAATTTGCGTAAGTATATAGAATTTCTTTTTCTTTTTATTCTAATATTTTAACTTCTAGTGGCCGACTCGTGGTCCTCGATGGGGTCCAGGTGGACGTGGTGATACATCAGGTGGCTGCCGATGTCGAGCAGATAAAGGAAAATTGTGTACAAAAGATTGTCAAAATTGTCATTAAAACTTATCATATGTGCAGATATAGAGTTTTTATTCTTGAAAATTCCACTGTGATTTCCGTTTTTTTAACTTGTGGTTTAAAATAAAATAAATAAAATTAATATTCAAATATTGTAGACAATTATTTACTTACATCTTTTTTTTCTAGAAAGAAAAAATAGATTTATCATGCCTTGGCGTCAATTTATAAGGAATTTAACAAATAATGAAGAATTAATTCGTCGTCTATCAGAATCTTATCCAATTCGACGAGCAGCACAATTAACAGCTTATTTTTATAGTGCTAGCAAAGATAAATTTATTGAACAACGAGGTAAATATGAACGGGCTGGCGGATGGGATAAAACAAAAAAAGATGTAAAAGATGATTTTCAAGGAGTTCAGAGTATAGGGAAAGAATATATATCAACTCTATTTCGACCTTACACAGATACATGGGCAAATTACAAAGAATTACGACGACAACAAGAAAAAAGTCGAACATCAACAACACCACCACCATCATCAACAAAAACAACACCAAAAACAACAATAATTAATAAGAAAAAGCCTTCCTCTTAAAGAATCTATTGAATGTTATCTCCTGTTTGTTTTTTCTCCTTTGTATGTTCCGTATTTTTTTAATATAATGAAAAGAAAGAAGATGAACATTATAATTATCTTATATGTGATACAATATCATGACCTTTAAGAATCATTACATAAATAACTGGATTTGTAATCATTGAAAGTTTAGCTAAAACAGCACAGGTTGTCATAATCCATGGATTATATAGAAAAAATCGATCGCCAAATACTTGAGCAACCGCCACAATACTATATGGTGTCCATGCAATAATATAAATGACCACACTTATAGCAGTAGCGACAACAAAACGACGATCTTCATGTAAACGATGTAAACGTCGATTTTCTTTATCATATAATGAATCAGAAACATGTCGACGCATACGTTCTTCATCATCATTTGGTTGAAGTTCAAGTACAATAGATGGCTGTAAATGTGTTAAGCGATAAATAGTACGGTGAATATATACATTAACATAAATAACAATTATTATTGGTATAAAGAAAACACCAACAAATAAAAGAAAAAAATAAATTCGACCAGGTAATGATCGATCAAACCAATCCAGACCACAATGAAAACCAAGTCCTTCAGGAGCATAAGCACTCATACGACCAAATAAGGGTGGTACAGCCCAAACACCACTAAGAATAAAACAAATTATAAGAATATGTACACTTCGTTGTTCAAGTTGACGTTGAAAATTTGTTGATAATGATGAATTAGCTGTTGTTGAATATCGTACAATTGATAGTGCAACAAGCATATACATTGCAAGACAACCATTGAAAAATGAATTAAAACCTTCTATATGACAAATGAATGTTATACATAAACGACGACAAAGAAAACATTGTAAAACAACTGATGGTACACTAATAATAATAACGCATAATGATGATAGAAACATGCCAATAACAAGACCCATATCACGACGAGAAAAACGATGATTTCTTCTAGCTGCAGATAATGACCATATATTGATTATAAATGATATAGTAGCAATAATAATAAGTAAGCAACCAGCTAATCGTGCAAATCTACATTCATTTATTGTAGCTTGTCGAAATAATGTAGCATTAGTAAAATTGTTATTTGAATATAAACAATCAACAGCAATTGACTCTTGAAATAGAAAATAATTATTTATTTTCTTTTGTTAAAATAAAATTTATTACTTACTGTCATTTATTATTTGCGGCATCTTTTTTTTCTTAAAGATTATTATGATAAAGAACGTTTTACTTGAAATACTAGAAAGACAGATATATTTATATATATGCAAGTTTATGTCTGTTTAATGTTAATTATAGAGAACTATGTGCGAATTTCTTTTAAGGAAAATCAACATATTTTATATGCTTTCATAGTTTTATTAATAGTTGAGCATATTAATATAGATAGAAACAAGAGAAGATAAGACATTTTATGTGCATGACAGCATGTGCATGTTAAAACTCATCTTTCTTTTTCTTTAGCTCATTATACAACCTAGATACTCTACGAGATGTTTCAAAGACCCCTTCGCAAAGTTAATTCAAACAATTTAATTGGTTTCTTTGAAGCTTTGTATATTGTCAGATATACCTCGTAATAATTTAATCTTTAACTTTTTTCCATAACATTAATTTCTTCGGAAACTTTTAACAAATATTAAAAAGGTAAAACATTACCTGATAAAAACTATAATAGATCTACAATTTAACGTATGATTTCATAGATTTACTTTCTTGTATAGCATTTGAATATGGAAAAGAATGAATAGTTGTTTTTCTTATGACTACTTTAAATATTATGTTACATCTATTAAACACGCATAACAGGATTTAGACAATACAGTGACGTACATGTAATGCATTTTTTGTTAAAATGCAATGAGCATTAACAAAGTATGAATATACTGGTGTAGTCATAATCAATAATAATGAATTCTATTTTGCACATAAAAAGTGTTATTTTGAATATAATTTATTTGATATTAATCTAAATGATTAAAGATAAAAAGCTTTCAAAAGTAATTTGAATTTCTAACATATAAAAATGCTATTCAGTATAAGAAAAAAAAGGAAAAAGAACTTCGTCACCTTTGCTATAGTTAGTTGTTAAAAGAAATATTTTAATAAATCTTCTCATCGTAATACTTTAATGTCAAATTCTGTATTCTAATTAAAAAAAAGTATGTGATTGATAATGCAAGTGATTTTCATCATTATTTCATAATTATCAAATAATACGATGATGCATAAAAAACAGTCAACATCCACGTAGGTTTTATCCGATAAATCTTATTTTTCAAGATGTATACACATACAAAAAGTTTTAAGAACTATTTCTAAATATAAACTTTTTCAACTATGACATATATAGTATAAATACATAGTTACATAGGTGCTTGTATTAGTTTTTCTTTAATAATTTAAAGGATAGTTGTTTGAGTACAAATAAATACTATAAGATGACATAGTACGAATATACGTCTGTAATAGAAATACCTCGATTATGTCGTGATAAATTTGACACTCGGAAATGGTTTTAAGAATGTAAATGTTTTTTTCACCGATCAAAGCTATAGAAAACAAAAGAAAAATACTTAAAGTGCAAATACAAATAGATTGCAGGTTACTTGTCATTAGCTGTATAATTGAAAAATTAAGTTAATTAATATATGTCAGAATATTAAATTCAACGATCTTATATTATTAATTAGTTAAAAGAATATATTCTTTGCAAAAAAGATAGATCGTACAACACATGAATACATGACAAAACAATAACAGGATATATAAATTAGCTCTCAGCTTTTATCG